GGAATTAATAATTCACTGAAACCCCAACGCGAGTCTCTGTTCTCTCTGCAATCTCTGATAAAATCAGCCTGGTTTCCTTTATATTAGCGCTGTTTTGGACGGATTGTTTGAATGCATTCGCTTACTGGATCATTGGACTGAAAACGTTCCCGGAGTTTAGCGGCTTAAAATGATCTGATCGCAAGCAGAGAAGCAAAATTGGGTTAAAGGGTTAGAATTTAGCATTTAGTAATTTTGCATTAATTGTGTTAAATTATTTTAACGCATTAAGGATTGTAAAATGAATCGCATGCGTTAATGTGTTAGCGATGACAGCCCTAGTTTTCATGTAAATGTGACTTTGTGTTCTGCACTATACTGTTAAAAAGTTTGGGTCAGTACTTTTTTTTTTTTTTTGAAAGAACGAAATAAATTTATACTTTCTTATTTAGCAAAGATGAATTGATGAATTAGAAGAACCTAATGACACTCTTGACATTTGGCTGCTGAAAATAGCCACAGAAGCTGGCATGACGATAAACACATAAACACAAACCATCACAGTTATAAATAACATTTTAAAATATAAAATGTATATTTCTATACACCCCAAACTGAGTGAACCATCATTTTGACCAAACATCAAAACAGTTTAATGCAGGATCTAAAATATAAAATAATAATAAAAAAAAGTATTTTAAAAATAATAAAAAGGTCTTTTTTTCCATACTTTTCACTAAAGGAATATTTAACATTTTTACAATATTGAATTATTTTCATTTATATGCACATTGCTACATAACATTGCAAAAATGTGGCAAAATATCCACGTTGAGTTTTTAATTAAAACATTTTAATACATTTAAAATGCCATGCAGGAATTCTTTGATGACACAAACAAATTGGTAAACTGAGTTTTGAATCAGTTTATTAAAATGAACAATTTGTAATAAACAACTCTAATGCCATTTTTTTTGATGAAGTACACAGCAGACATACATTCGGCATTAAGATTTTTTTTGTAGTTTTTTAATTTTCTATAAAATTTATAAAACCATTTATGATTATCATCAGAAAAAAAAACATTAATTATAAAAATTAATATATAATATATACAGTACTATATATTCATATTAATTTGTATCAATTTCATAAAAGTTTTGATTTATTAATTTATATTATATTATTAAATTGTAGTATTTTTCCCTATACATTCCCCCAGATAACATATGCCATTTATAAGAACCAAAGCGCTTAAAAGTTTGTGTTGTTGCGTCAAAAAAGGGGGTGGTTCTGGATTTGGTGTGAACGTTATTATAAAACTTGGAGCCCTCATAAAAATCCAGCGATTTACGCATACTCAAACACACGCAGAGATGGACACAAATACTGTTGGTTGCGCTTCTGTGCGCACACTTAATAGGTGAGGGATATACTGGAAGAGGTTGACAGCTTATTTTTCCTGTCTGTTTTTTGCTATCAGGAGCCATAGTGTCTGTCAGTATCAGATGTAATTGCTGTTATTTTCTCCTTCAGTTCTCCTTTTTTCCCCTCTCACCTTTTCAAAGCCTGAAGAGCGATCGAAGAATTTGAGTTGTAGAGGCACATAACATGAAGGCTGTCATTTCATAAGACAGGACTCCATTTAATCTAAAAAATGGCTTCTGCAAAGCCTCCGCTGGTCGTTGTAACACATTTGTGGGGTGCTGGTGCTGAAAAAATGACCCTCAGGACATAATAGTGCTTAATGCAGTACTTCACAAGCGCTGAAAACGAAAACAGTAACCTCTAACCCCTTTTTATGGATAGTCATTTATTACTCTCGTACTAAAGCTTCTATGTAGCATTGAAGAAAAGGTTATATTTTTTTACCATTTATCATTTACCAAGCAACCCAAGTTTCTTAAGTGTTAAATGTCTTTAATGAGGAGAGTTGCTGTGGAAATGCTTTGAGCTTCAGAAGTATTTAGAAAACAACACTTATTAGTTTTCATTTACTAAACCATGCTGGTGTTGTATGGATTTACTTTTGTGTCTTTTTTATTCAATCAAACATACTGTGTTTGAGAGCAAAAAATTATATTGTAATTTAAAAAATAACTTTTTTTTTTAAATAGTTTTTATTTGCATTATTTAATTTTTTTAATTACACTATAATTAGTTTTGTTCTCAAGCACATTATGTTTGATTGAATAAAAAAGACAAAAATAACTCCATAGTATTTTATTCACTAGCCACTAGTAACCAAATAGAAAAGAAACCAAAGTGAAACAAGCTTGTCACGTGTTGTAGGTGGACAAAAACTCAAATTAATATAGACAATCATATATCAAAACATGATATTACAAGCAACTAAAGATTAGCAGCTTATTGTGGAGACCGTGAAGACTGAAACATTGATTTGGCCCATGCCTGTGAAGAAACTTACATCAGCATCCGTCAGCTTGCCAAAAGCATTTTAATAGAAACACTTTCAAGCAGTCAACGTACTGAAGCTGTGAACATCGTAAGGTTTCGAGTGTGCATTAAAGTACTAGGCGAGCAACCATGTGCGAACTCTTGGCATCCGACACTGGAAAATGTCTCTGAGCCGTGTGCCAATGTGCAATGCACAGCTAAAGCAGGCGAGGGAGCTGCATTACAGCCAAAAAGGACACTAAGAAACTCCAAAAGGACACCAAAGAACCAAAAGATATAAGGAGCCCATATAAGCACATATGAAAGAAAAAAAAAATCTGAATTTTATAGTATGTGTACAGTGCAACAGCAAAGAGCTTTTTTACATTTTAGAGAAGACAAGTTGCGAAACTGAACAGGACCACATGGAGATGCCAAAAAATACCTAAACTAACCGCCTGCTGACTGCATCTACTACAGTACACGGATCCATTCCGTATAACTAAACACAGCAACATAAACATGACAAATCGAAACATTCGTGAATGTGTGTGGAAACAACGTGAATGTACGGAAGTGCCTGTGCATAAATACAATGTGCGGTCAGTGCGTCAAGAGCACTCATACATGCAGAGAAACCGTAGTTTGCGTCTGATCTGGCCATACAGCAGTGGGATGTGTTGGCAATCCGTTCAGTCTGTATTTCACACAGTGCGACGTGTGAGTCAGGGCTCGCGCTCTTCAGAGACGATCACAGAATATGACAGAGCTCGTATTTAAAAGCCAAACACACTGGAATTAATAATTCACTGAAAACCCAACGCGAGGCTCTGTTCTCTCTGCAATCTCTGATAAAATCAGCCTGGTTTCCTTTATATTAGCGCTGTTTTGGACGGATTGTTTGAATGCATTCGCTTACTGGATCATTGGACTGAAAACGTTCCCGGAGTTTAGCGGCTTAAAATGATCTGATCGCAAGCAGAGAAGCAAAATTGGGTTAAAGGGTTAGAATTTAGCATTTAGTAATTTTGCATTAATTGTGTTAAATTATTTTAACGCATTAAGGATTGTAAAATGAATCGCATGCGTTAATGTGTTAGCGATGACAGCCCTAGTTTTCATGTAAATGTGACTTTGTGTTCTGCACTATACTGTTAAAAAGTTTGGGTCAGTACTTTTTTTTTTTTTTTGAAAGAACGAAATAAATTTATACTTTCTTATTTAGCAAAGATGAATTAGATTTCTGAAAGAACCTAATGACACTCTTGACATTTGGCTGCTGAAAATAGCCACAGAAGCTGGCATGACGATAAACACAAACAAACAAGCCATCACAGTTATAAATAACATTTTAAAATATAAAATGTATATTTCTATACACCCCAAACTGAGTGAACCATCATTTTGACCAAACATCAAAACAGTTTAATGCAGGATCTAAAATATAAAATAATAATAAAAAAAAGTATTTTAAAAATAATAAAAAGGTCTTTTTTTCCATACTTTTCACTAAAGGAATATTTAACATTTTTACAATATTGAATTATTTTCATTTATATGCACATTGCTACATAACATTGCAAAAATGTGGCAAAATATCCACGTTGAGTTTTTAATTAAAACATTTTAATACATTTAAAATGCCATGCAGGAATTCTTTGATGACACAAACAAATTGGTAAACTGAGTTTTGAATCAGTTTATTAAAATGAACAATTTGTAATAAACAACTCTAATGCCATTTTTTTTGATGAAGTACACAGCAGACATACATTCGGCATTAAGATTTTTTTTGTAGTTTTTTAATTTTCTATAAAATTTATAAAACCATTTATGATTATCATCAGAAAAAAAAACATTAATTATAAAAATTAATATATAATATATACAGTACTATATATTCATATTAATTTGTATCAATTTCATAAAAGTTTTGATTTATTAATTTATATTATATTATTAAATTGTAGTATTTTTCCCTATACATTCCCCCAGATAACATATGCCATTTATAAGAACCAAAGCGCTTAAAAGTTTGTGTTGTTGCGTCAAAAAAGGGGGTGGTTCTGGATTTGGTGTGAACGTTATTATAAAACTTGGAGCCCTCATAAAAATCCAGCGATTTACGCATACTCAAACACACGCAGAGATGGACACAAATACTGTTGGTTGCGCTTCTGTGCGCACACTTAATAGGTGAGGGATATACTGGAAGAGGTTGACAGCTTATTTTTCCTGTCTGTTTTTTGCTATCAGGAGCCATAGTGTCTGTCAGTATCAGATGTAATTGCTGTTATTTTCTCCTTCAGTTCTCCTTTTTTCCCCTCTCACCTTTTCAAAGCCTGAAGAGCGATCGAAGAATTTGAGTTGTAGAGGCACATAACATGAAGGCTGTCATTTCATAAGACAGGACTCCATTTAATCTAAAAAATGGCTTCTGCAAAGCCTCCGCTGGTCGTTGTAACACATTTGTGGGGTGCTGGTGCTGAAAAAATGACCCTCAGGACATAATAGTGCTTAATGCAGTACTTCACAAGCGCTGAAAACGAAAACAGTAACCTCTAACCCCTTTTTATGGATAGTCATTTATTACTCTCGTACTAAAGCTTCTATGTAGCATTGAAGAAAAGGTTATATTTTTTTACCATTTATCATTTACCAAGCAACCCAAGTTTCTTAAGTGTTAAATGTCTTTAATGAGGAGAGTTGCTGTGGAAATGCTTTGAGCTTCAGAAGTATTTAGAAAACAACACTTATTAGTTTTCATTTACTAAACCATGCTGGTGTTGTATGGATTTACTTTTGTGTCTTTTTTATTCAATCAAACATACTGTGTTTGAGAGCAAAAAATTATATTGTAATTTAAAAAATAACTTTTTTTTTTAAATAGTTTTTATTTGCATTATTTAATTTTTTTAATTACACTATAATTAGTTTTGTTCTCAAGCACATTATGTTTGATTGAATAAAAAAGACAAAAATAACTCCATAGTATTTTATTCACTAGCCACTAGTAACCAAATAGAAAAGAAACCAAAGTGAAACAAGCTTGTCACGTGTTGTAGGTGGACAAAAACTCAAATTAATATAGACAATCATATATCAAAACATGATATTACAAGCAACTAAAGATTAGCAGCTTATTGTGGAGACCGTGAAGACTGAAACATTGATTTGGCCCATGCCTGTGAAGAAACTTACATCAGCATCCGTCAGCTTGCCAAAAGCATTTTAATAGAAACACTTTCAAGCAGTCAACGTACTGAAGCTGTGAACATCGTAAGGTTTCGAGTGTGCATTAAAGTACTAGGCGAGCAACCATGTGCGAACTCTTGGCATCCGACACTGGAAAATGTCTCTGAGCCGTGTGCCAATGTGCAATGCACAGCTAAAGCAGGCGAGGGAGCTGCATTACAGCCAATTTGAAATGTCATTTAATTTATGTTTATGAGGAGATTAAAGAACTTCCTTTCTGTTTGCTGCACACAATTTGACGCTTGTGAAGGTTTTCATTCATCCAGATCATCGTAGAACTTAGCCACCGGGATGAGTCATGAAACATTTATTTCTAATTCCTGTTGAGTAAGATCAATGTGCATAAAATTAGCTAAACATTTTCAACCCTTAAAGGTGCAGTAGGAGATCTTGGAAAATGCTAACTTTAGCCTGATAGCACTGATAGCGAACGTCCCACCCTCCCTGCAATCGCCGTCCAAAGCCACGCCCCCTGAACGCATATACGCTCACAGACCTGAATACCAGAAACAACATTACTACAATAGGCTACATCAGTGGTTCCCAATTCCAGTCAGGAGTAAATAGTATTTATTTACAGAGGTATATTATGTCACACTTCACACTTCTCTAGTAAGTTTCGTCTGTGTGTGAAGACGCTGTGCAGCGCAAATCCGTGAATGAATGTTCCGAAGTGAAGTAAACTTCAATGGATTTCCCCTGCTCAGAGAGGAGGGAGCAATGAACACTGTGTAGGGATCATATCGATCGGAACACAGTTCATGCACGTAGCTCACTTCTAATGAGCTGGTTATCTGAATCGGGTGTGTTAACTAAGCGAGACATGCAAAACACTGTGTCAAATACATCATGAGTCATTCACCGGTGAGAAAACTTTAAAAGTACTACAATACCAGGAAGGAAGATCTGGTTGTTGATGTTTGTCTGCCATTCTCGCTCTGTCTGCACAGCGTGCGTAACACGCTGATGATGACGTATCCTGTCTGCGCGAACAAGGTGTGCAGAGGTATGCTAATACATACTTTGACAGGCAGGTAGAAAAGCCAATTAAAATGCTCGGACCGAGCGTTTTGATTGGACGAACATTTCTTGGTCTTACGCCTTCCACAGAATAAATAAATGCAGATAAATACATTTAGACCACTTAACTTAATGATTGCTATCGGGATGTGAAGAGACTTTCAACCAGCATAACAAAAAATGTTTCTGAAGACAATCACCTGTTGCACCTTTACATTTCAGTACTATTCCATTATAATTGGCCGAAATGTGTTTGGACAACTAAAGTTTTACGTTTTTTATTAAATTTTTTAATAAAATACTGTTCACAAATTTGGGGTCGGTAGGATGTTTTTGAAAGAAGTCTTTTATGCTCAACAAGGCTGCATTTATTTAATAAAAAATACAGGAAAAACAGTAATATTGTGAAATATTGTTACAATTTAAAATAACTGTTTTCTATTAGAATGTATTTTAAAATGTCATGTATTCCTGTGATGGTAAAGCTGAATTTTCAGCATCATTACTCTGGTCTTCAGTTTCACATGATCCTTCAGAAATCATTCTAATATGCTGATTTGGTTCTCAAGAAACGTCTCTTATTACTATCATTTTTTTATTTAATTGTTGCGCTATTTAATGTTTTGTGGAAACCATGATACGTTCTTTGGTAAATAGAAAGAGCAACATTTATTTGAAATAGAAATCTTTAGTAACCATATAAACATTTTTATTGACACGTTATCAATTTCATGGGTTATTACCAAATAAAATAATAGTTTATTTCTTTCTTTCTTTCTTTAAAAAAAAAGAATGTTACTGACCCCAGACTTTTGAACAGTATTGTATCTAATTTAATTTCATTACATTAGAAAACAAAATATATGTTTATATATTTATGGATTTTTTTTTAATAACTTACAGTAAATCAGTATTGTTTTGGGGAAATGTTTTATTTAAAATATGTGCTGGAGATCTATTTCTATTTTTTGCTATCTAATGCAATCTTCTTATTTGATATAGGTTTATCAAAGTCTGTCCTGCTCCAATGTTTTTCCTCTTCATGTTTTGTAGCCGCTTCCAGAGGCAGCTTATAACGGAAATCCTGAAAGCGTGGGTTACCAGGTACGTGCACAGAGAGCAGACGGGCTTGGGCAGCCCCGGATGGAGACAGTTTCTGAGCGCTTGTCTCGGGAAGCGACGGTGGAGGGACTTGAGGAGTGGACGGAGTACGAGCTCAGCATTCAGGCCTTCAATGTCATCGGGCCTGGACCCTGGAGCAGTCCTGTGCTGGGCAAAACTAAAGAGTCAGGTGACAATATTTTCCATAAAACATGCTTGCTTTAGAAGTAGCTTCTCCACTTTTGATAAAAAAAAAAAAAAGTAACAATCAAAATAAATGATCAATGAAGTTTGTTTCAAAGTTTAATGTCATGCATGCGAGGAAAAGAAATAAATGTAGTTGCTGTTTTGTATGTAACCAAATGACTTATGTTAATTTAAGCATCGTTGTGTTAATGCATTACGGTCACATTTCTATTTTGATCATTTTTCATTTTATTTGAGTGTTATAAGACAGATAGCTTAAAGTATAGGACAGATATACTTATAAAGATATGTCAGTTCATTTTTAGATTAATGCCATGAGTGGCTGCATTCCTTAGCAATTCTAAACAGACACAGTTTAGCCAGCGCCCCTCTAGCCGATTTTTAGTCGTAGGCAGTAACAATCAAAATAAATGATCAATGAAGTTTGTTTCAAAGTTTAATGTCATGCATGCGAGGAAAAGAAATAAAACGTAGTTGCTGTTTTGTATGTAACCAAATGAATTATGTTAATTTAAGCATCGTTGTGTTAATGCATTACGGTCACATTTCTATTTTGATCATTTTTCATTTTATTTGAGTGTTATAAGACAGATAGCTTAAAGTATAGGACAGATATACTTATAAAGATATGTCAGTTCATTTTTAGATTAATGCCATGAGTTGCTGCATTCCTTAGCAATTCTAAACAGACACAGTTTAGCCAGCGCCCCTCTAGCCGATTTTTAGTCGTAGGCATCATTTACATAGCCGTTGGAGACTCTGATGGAGTCTGTGCCCGAGGCCACATCTAACAGCGGGTGGGTGTTAGCAGCTCCAGCGACTCCCTGCTGAGTTAATGATCCTGCCGACCCCTAGACAACATCTAGAAAGTTTGAAATGATCAGAGGCAGCTGGTGGGGCGGGCACTTGTGGCCTTGGCGGTGACCACTTACAGATTTCAATTTGATTCTCCATGAATTTTCCTGATGATTTTGGTTTTATTTTATAGATCACACTCATAAACTAGAACTGAGCATACACTACTGTTCAGAAGTTAGGGGTCAGTATTTGTTGTTGTTTTTTAAAGAAATTGATACTATTAGGAATTGTTTTGCATTAAACTGATCAAAAGTGACAGTAAAGACTTTTACATTGTTAGAAAAAAAATATATATATATATATAAATATAAATATATATTTTTATATATAAATATAAAAGCCTTACAGATTTCAATTTGATTCTCCATGAATTTTCCTGATGATTTTGGTTTTATTTTATAGATCACACTCATAAACTAGAACTGAGCATACACTACTGTTCAGAAGTTAGGGGTCAGTATTTGTTGTTGTTTTTTAAAGAAATTGATACTATTAGGAATTGTTTTGCATTAAACTGATCAAAAGTGACAGTAAAGACTTTTACATTGTTAGAAAAAAAATATATATATATATATAAATATAAATATATATTTTTATATATAAATATAAAAGCTAGTTGAGCAACAAATATGAGCATATTTGAATGATATCTAAAGGATCATGTGACACTGAAGACTGAAGTAATGATGCTGAAAATTCAGCTTTGCAATCACAGCAATGGATTACATTTAAAAATATATTGAAACAGAAAACTATTTATTTAATTTTTTTACTGTGTTGCTGTTTTTGCTGTATTTTTGATCAAATAAATGCAGTCCCAATGAGCATAAGAGACTTTTTTTTATTTTATTATTATTATTTTTGTTTTTCAAAAAATAACAGTCGGATCCGCCTATTTTCACTTACGAAATATAAACTATCTTCGTCCTTCTCTAACAACAAATACCACTGCTATTCTTGTACATTCCTTGGTTTCGTCATGTTTAGATTACTGTAATTCTTTACTTTTTGTTCTCCCTTTAAAACTCCTACATAAGCTGCAGTTGGTACAGATCTCAGCAGCACGAATTATTTCAAAAACCCCTCTCGTAGAGCATATATCCCCAGTTCTTTGCCATTTGCACTGGCCCCCCGACAAATATCATATCAATTTCCAAATTTTGCTTCTTACTTACAAAGCTCTTAATAATCTTGCTCCTTCTTGTCTTTCTGATCTTCTCCAAATTTAGACTCCTGCACGTACCATGAGAACCTCTTCATCTGTTTTTCTGATTCAACCACGTATTAATTTGAGCAGTATGGGGTCAAGAGCCTTTAGTTATACTGCCCCTTATTTGTGGAATGCTCTTCCCCAGGACATTCGCAATAGCGATAGTTTTCACAATTTTTTCACAATTTTTCTTACTTTTGACTGCATATATGTGGATCAATGTTTATGAATGTTCTAATTTATTTTATTGTATGGATTATGGTTGTATGGTTTTTAGGATTCCTTGTAAGGCGACCTTGAGTGTCATGAAAGGCACCTATAAATAAAATGAATTATTATTATTATTTTAAATATTGTACTAACCTCAAACTTTTGAACAGTAGTGTACCTAGAGAAAATTACATTGACTATAGAAATGTCCACAACTTTTTCATGACATTTGTGGATTTCATATGTTTTCGAAACTTTTCAAAGGTTTCAAACCCGTAAGACCTTTGTTCATCTTCGAAACACAAATGAAGATATTTTTTATGAAATCCAAGAGCTTTCTGACCCTCCATAGACAGCAACGCAACTACCATGTTCAAGTCGTTATTTTTGTTTTCTTTATTCTTGTAGCTTCATTGTAATTCATAAAATTACAGTTGAACCACTGATAATTTCAAAAACCCCTCTCGTAGAGCATATATCCCCAGTTCTTTGCCATTTGCACTGGCCCCCCGACAAATATCATATCAATTTCCAAATTTTATTTCTTACTTACAAAGCTCTTAATAATCTTGCTCCTTCTTGTCTTTCTGATCTTCTCCAAATTTACACTCCTGCACGCACCCTGAGAACCTCTTCATCTGTTTTTCTGATTCAACCACGTATTAATTTGAGCAGTATGGGGTCAAGGGCCTTTAGTTATACTGCCCCTTATTTGTGGAATGCTCTTCCCCAGGACATTCGCAATAGCGATAGTTTTCACAATTTGAAATCTCGTCTTAAAACTCTTACTTTTGACTGCATATATGTGGATCAATGTTTATGAATGTTCTAATTTATTTTATTGTATGGATTATGGTTGTATGGTTTTTAGGATTGCTTGTAAGGCAACCTTGAGTGCCATGAAAGGCGCCTATAAATAAAATGAATTATTATTATTATTTTAAATATTATACTAACCTCAAACTTTTGAACAGTAGTGTACCTAGAGAAAATTACATTGACTATAGAAATGTCCACAACTTTTTCATGACATTTGTGGATTTCATATGTTTTCGAAACTTTTCAAAGGTTTCAAACCCGTAAGACCTTTGTTCATCTTCGAAACAAAATTGAAGATATTTTTGATGAAATCCAAGAGCTTTCTGACCCTCCATAGACAGCAACGCAACTACCATGTTCAAGTCGTTATTTTTGTTTTCTTTATTCTTGTAGCTTCATTGTAATTCATAAAATTACAGTTGAACCACTGATGTCACATGGACTATTTTAACGATGTCCTTACTACCTTTCTGGGCCTTGAACGTAGTAGTTGCATTGCTGTCTATGCAGGACCAGAAAGCTCTCAGATTTCATCAAAAATACCTCACTTTGTGTTCTGAAGATGAACGAAGGTCTTACGGGTCTGGAACAACATGACAGAATTTTCATTTTTGGGTGAACAATCCCTTTAACTTTTTATCAAACTGAAGAACTGACAAACTTGCTCGGATCATTTTCCTTAGGAAATACTAAAACACATTTTTTCTGCTGGACTCCTACACCTAAATAACTAAAAGAATAAGAAAGTGCCTTTGTCGCTTCGTTTAGCAAATGAAAATCTTTATCTCACTGAAGCTGCGCATGAACATATGCCGGCAAGCCCTGAAGGAACAAATACACATCACACACATTCACGGGGTAAAGTTACCCCTTCAAATTGTATCTTAAATCAGTCCATTACAAGTGTTTATGCTCACACCGTTCTCCTGTTCTTAATTCGGCGAGCTTCACATGACAGCGAATCAGAGAGAAATGTCAGAGGCTGTTGTTTAAGCTGTAAGCCCTCTTTTCCATTTTTATTTTCCAATTTTATTTTCTCCTTCCAATAGAAAGGAGTGAGATTTCAGCAAAAATACTGAGTAGATGTGAATCCCTGACCGAAATAAATTGTTCAGAGTCGGCTGGTAAGACATCAGCCTTAGGCTAATGAGCTGTATCACTTGGTGGAATTGTTTGTTCATATTATTATTAATGATAATTGGAGTCTTTTATCTTATTATTGTTCCAATAGGATGAAAAACAGCCTTTAAGTGTTGCAAAATCACTCTAACACATGGCCTTGAGTAGGTTTTTGCTTTAGTATAAAATGGCTATTTATATGGGTGTGTTTTCAGTTCCCTCTGGTGCCCCAGAAAATGTGAGCGCAGAAGCAATGAGATCCACGAGTATATTGGTCACCTGGGGTTCGGTCCATGAACACCAGAAGAATGGACACATCCTTGGTTACAAGGTACGGTTACTATATCAAAGAGAATGCTTTAAGACCCTTAAAATCCCCCACAGCTTTGACTGGAGAGTCCTGCCTGCCAAAACACTGCAGATGGGTGAATTTCTACTGTATATGGAGACGTCTAACTGGAATTATTTTATAGCAGTGCTTGGGAAGATATTTTAATGAATGTTTCAACAAACAAAACTATTTGCTTGCTCAGTGTTTTTTTGTTTATATAGTGAGATAAGTCAGTGGGGTCCAATATTTTTAAAACCTGACAACTTCATCAGAATTTTCATTTTTGGGTGCAGTATTCCTTTTAACATACCTGCAAACCTGTCATTTTTGGTCAGACTGTCAGTGAGTATTTTCACTAATTAACTATTTTCATTGAGACCAATTATATACAACAGACAGCATAATTTATTAGGCTGAAATTGCAGGTTTATCTTTTTTTTCTCAAATCTTTTATACATGTTTAATATGTTACTATAGATATTTGTGTTGTTTCAAAAAATTGGATTTTTTTCCCCCCATCAGTAGAGTTAGATATGTTTAACGTCGGTATGAAATTAAAATAAATACTTATTTTGTAAATGCATGTTATAGACCTATATTTTAGTTATAGACAATACTTTTTGGTCAGACTGTCAGTGAGTATTTTCACTAATTAACTATTTTCATTGAGACCAATTATATACAACAGACAGCATAATTTATTAGGCTGAAATTGCAGGTTTATCTTTTTTTTTCTCAAATCTTTTATACATGTTTAATATGTTACTATAGATATTTGTGTTGTTTCAAAAAATTGGATTTTTTTCCCCCCATCAGTAGAGTTAGATATGTTTAACGTCGGTATGAAATTAAAATAAATACTTATTTTGTAAATGCATGTTATAGACCTATATTTTAGTTATAGACAATATTTTGACCTTGTAATGTTTCATCAAAATGTCAAAACCCAATCTTCTGGCAAAAGAACAGACATCTTTCTGGTGACGTATGCCAGACTTCTCCAGTAATTTAGTCAGCTTAAACCCCGCTCATCCAAAATCGACAGCAAGCTTACATTCAGATTTGCTCTCATCCAATCAACAATCGATGGGTCGTGCCAAGTCCCTGTCCTACATTTCACAAGTGTAAAAAAGAATAAGTAGAAGGAGGAGGAACCTGAGCCATATCCCCATGCAGATATTTGGAGGTGGACTCTTTTGATGTGGGAAAGTACGAAACCATCCAGAACAGCCTAACAACCACATAGCAGAACCATTCTTAAGCACCGTAGCAAAAAAGTGTATGCAGTACACTTCTACACATCTAATGTAATGCTTGTATCATCCACCAAAGGCACTTTATACCACAAAGAGCTCTTGATATGCACATCTACAAAAGTTCTTCCACATGCTTTAATATTCTCCAGTAATTTAGTCAGCTTAAACCCCGCTCATCCAAAATCGACAGCAAGCTTACATTCAGATTTGCTCTCATCCAATCAACAATCGATGGGTGGTGCCAAGTCCCTGTCCTACATTTCACAAGTGTAAAAAAGAATAAGTAGAAGGAGGAGGAACCTGAGCCATATCCCCATGCAGATATTTGGAGGTGGACTCTTTTGATGTGGGAAAGTACGAAACCATCCAGAACAGCCTAACAACCACATAGCAGAACCATTCTTAAGCACCGTAGCAAAAAAGTGTATGCAGTACACTTCTACACATCTAATGTAATGCTTGTATCATCCACCAAAGGCACTTTATACCACAAAGAGCTCTTGATATGCACATCTACAAAAGTTCTTCCACATGCTTTAATGCACATACATTCAGCCGAACATAGTTCGTACTGAGTTCATTTTGAGCACATCTATAAACTGTATGAAGATATTGAAACCCATGTGCACTGTTGCTTGTATAAGGCTTTCTTCATTTTCTGCTTAGGATGTGTAGAGTGACATGATGCAAGATCATGAAACTGCTGAAACAGTTTTTCCTTTTACACACTGTCGGAAGAAGCCAATTGATAAAATGCTTAGACTGTAAAAAGTGGGGGGGAAATGAAATAACACAATTAATTATTGATCTCTTCTAAAGTCAGGACCTAAGTTGAGGCAAAACTTGAACTTGATTTTTTGTGTAGTTTTTATCTGAAGAAACAGGGATGTTTGCATGTGCAAAAGATGCTCAAGTGTTGTGAGCTGTTGCTGTGTGGTTGCGTACTTCCCCAAAATCAAAAGAGCTCATCTCGACGTCTTTATTGCCACATACACACTGTAAAGTTTCAGGAGTGACAATCACATTTAAATATGGGAGCAAATCCCCTAAATTATCTCACACTTAAAATTGTGATGATTGACACAATGGTTACTGTAAGAAAGTGTATGACTTGTTATGACGTTTGGTATCCTCTATTTTTAACCAAAGTAATATTACCAAAGACTCTCTGTGTTTGATGATTTTAACTAAACCACCGTTGACAGAGCCGCTGTGTTTTATGTATTTTTGGAAGGTCCACTTATTATAAGAGACACTTATTAAGCATCTTTAGGCTTGGCTCATAAACTGATCCAGTTAATAGAGTTAATAAAGGAGGCAGGTGCAAGTTGTGATATATTGGTATGTGGTTTATTTCCCAGATAATAACTTTGGATTTAAGTTTATTACAGACTTGCTTTTATTTGCTCTTTTTTTAATAGCAAGATCTGGCAGCACTACTGAGTTCAAATGTACCACATTCCCGGTGATTTCTTTCACTGTGCATGCAGGAAAGAGATACAACTCTGATATGTGTTTAAATAAGTCATTAACAGCTAGTTGTTCAGTTTGGAACACGTTGCATAAAAGTTTTGTAAATGCGGTTGTCACTGTCTACATTTTTCAGCAATTCATTTCATTGTAGAAAACAGTTGTCACTCCTGTAAACAAGCACTAAAAGTCGAATTGAATACTGAATTTAACTGAATTATGTGGCCATAATATTCTGATCTGTTTTAGCATCTGATTTGCTTAAATCCCTAACCTTAAGTATGAATAGTGTGTATAGAATATTAGCAATTAGCAAGCATTACTACACACTGTACGGTTGTTGTTGAATTTAGGACATTCCAACACTCAATATCACATCAAAACTGTTTCTACGTGACCTATATTTCCTTGTTTCCTTTTATCTCTAGGTCTTGTACAAAGAAAAAGATTCAGAGCGGGCTCCCCAGGTCCAGCTGGTGAACGGGAACCAGACTCACTTGCTGCTTTTAAAAAACCTTAGCAAGTTCATCTTGTATGAGGTTCAGGTGCTCGCGTTTACACGTGTCGGAGATGGACCACCCAGCCTGCCCCCCACAGCTGAGAGAACCAAGGATGATGGTAAGCAACCAATAAAATCAATGCATCGCCACTGAACAGAACGCATCATCTAATTCTTCACACGTTCCCACTGGTTATGACAAATCACACATGCATAATAAAAGCAAAAATAAATGTTCACACACACATTGGGTCAAAATTAGACTTTGAGTGAAAGCTACCCATTTAGCAGATGTTCCTTTACACACTCACACACCGGTAAACACGCACACACACACATTCATAATGGTAGCTCATAGTTATGCCTTACTTCATGCTCTGGTGGTTTCCAGCTGTGCCCGACATTCAGACTGGCATTACCTCCCACGTGGCTCCAGACACAGACAAACACACACCTGCCTGGCCTCATGGTGCCCCCACTGCTTGAAACCCCATCCTGCATTACTGCATTTGCTTGAGTCACCTGTCTGAACCACCTCTCACTCGCTCGATTTTCTTATCCCAGCTCACTTAAAATTCACTTATGAGATCTCAATCTGTTCTCAGACAGAAATGACATTAAAGGGTAACTTGCGAAATCCTTACACATTTCAGATATTTTTTTTTCCTGAGAACAAGTCTCCAGTATCTCATGTGTGTCTCCTGTTTGTCAGCCTTAACCTAAATTATTCAAAATTACTATTCAATTACTAAAATGATTTTAATTATTGTATTTATAATTAAATTATTGTATATTTTATACGACTATTTTATTATTTTTTATAATTATATTCTCAGTTCTGTAATGAGCAATAATAAAAAGAATACTTTTAATACAATAATCACCCATTTTTAATTACAAAAATAATAAGCATAACTTAAATTATTCAACATGCAATTACTATATTTATTATAATATATACAATTACTTTATTTATAATTATATTCTCAGTGCTGTGATAGGCCATAATAAAAATGTTGTTGTAATACAATAAATCAATCACACATTTTTATATTAAAAAAATGTAATTAAGCATATCTTAAATTATTCAATAATAAAAAAAATAATTATTGTATTTATAATTATATAAACAAATTATGTTTTGTAATTATTTATAATTTATTTTATTTTATTTTCATTTTTTGTAATTATTAAAAGTTCAGTGAATGTTCGTACTATGGATTAAATATTATTTTGTATATTTACTACACTAAGTATTTCTATATTTAAAAAATATATATATTATTAAATTTAAATGCCATTATTTTTCACATTGCAGTAATGAGAATGAGATGTTTTTCAGATTATGGTAATGAGAATTTGGAGGGGAAAAGTGCTTAGTTATCATGAAGCTATATGTCATAATGAAAAAAATAGACTTCTTTTAAATCTGAAGTGAAATATGACACAGGCATTATCTGACAGTTTTCATGAGACTCAACCAAGTGGGAACCTCATTAAGTCTCCTGAGCTATGAAAGAGCAACCTCTGAGCAATAAAATTTCCTTCGGCAAGTTTCTCTCAGAAATATGTACTCGCATGTATGCAATATATTTCCTCGGCAAGGGAAGTAAGCTGCCATCGTTCCCTCTGAAATGAGCGAGTGTGTTCATATGTGGACTGTGGAGTCTTGCCAGCAGAATGACAAATGCCCTCTTTCTGTCATTTTTCTTAATCGGCTCAATGGAGCAACATTCATTTGGAAATGTACAGGGATACCAGGGATACCAGATACTGGAATGTCTATGTGATTCTTCTCTACACACACTGACTCACACTTACACACACACACACACACACACATATCAGAACTAGTGGATTACCAGCGCTGTTGGCCTAGTGTCCACTGGCAGAGTTAAATGTGTTTGATGAGGGATTATAAAACACTAATATTTAAATTTATGGATTTAAGGAATTAAGGAATTAGAAGTTTACAAGGAGACTTTGTGTGTGTGTGTGAGAAGAGATTAAAATGTCATATTTATCGTGGCCGAGATAAAAGCTTGGCCCCACAAACAGATGTTTTGAAGTGTTTGAAATATGTGCTACATTACAAGAAATCAGAATGTATGCTACAGTAATCCGTTTTAAATGCATGTATCCTCTCTCCCTCTTTCCCTCCCTCTCTTCTCTCCAGTTCCTGGTCCACCTGTAAGGTTGGTGTTTCCAGAGGTGCGTCTCACGTCTGTCAGGGTTGTCTGGCAACCTCCCTCGGAGCCAAACGGCATCATTATGGGTAAGAGAACATAAACGCTACACAACCACACACACACACATTTACCTAGCCATATAAATGAAAACATATCACAGACTTCTGTTGTTTTTAAATAAAGCTAATTGTAATAATTAACCCTAAAAGGAAACCTTTCTGCATAGAAAATTTAATAACTAATGGATTTAATATAATATGTTAATGATAAAAATGCAAATGTAAAATGATTTAAAGGTGCACTAAGTGATTTTTGCCAAACGATGTTGATATTTGAAAGCACCAAAACAAACAGGCCCATACCCCAACACCTCGCCCCTATTTTGAAATCTCAGCCCCACTTGTACGTACACAACTATGGCAACGATGGTTGCGGAAACAAGTGAAGATGACACACAAGCATATTCAAACAAAAGCCAACACGGATAAGTTGTGTGAAACTAATTAAAATCAACGTTACTCACTTATCAAGAAGAAACAACGCAACCTCGGCATCCGATTCAAGGCCTTCCCACTAATTTTTTTTATGATTATTTTACTTTCTTTTAAATAATCAAATCAAATAAAAACAAAGTAAAGCACTTTGAATTACCATTGTGTATGAAATATGCTATATAAATAAACTTGCCTTGCCTTGCCTTGCCTCCTTGAGTTCTCTCCACCGCTGGAAAGCTGCTCCGATATTTACGCGGGTCCTACCTCTTGCCTGATCGTAACCCTTCTTTGTAATGTTTTGTTTCTCTGATATTTTCCTCTTTTTTATCTGCCATCTCTCTGTCTATAGTCGATCTGCTAATATCCCTCCTGTGCACTCAAATTTAGCGCTCTCTTCTCTCTATCACTGCATGACACGCCTCCTTATTGCTGATTGGCTACAAGTGTGTTTTGGTCCAAAAGCGTTTTTCAAAAATCACATAGTGCACCTTTAAGCATTTTAATCTGTAATTTATTTTACTTAGTAATAATTTTGTCTACTGTTTTTTTACTTCTTCCATATATACACTACTGTTCAAATGTTTGGGATCGGCATTTTATTTTAGTTTATTTGTTCAACATATTTAATCAAAAATACAGTAAACCATAATATTGTAAAATATTTTACAATTTAATATATCTTATTTAATTTAAAATGTAATTTATATATTTTAAATAATTTAAGTATTTTAAAATGCAATTTATCCCTGTGAGCCCTCAGAAATCATTGATTTGATTGATTTGGTGCTCAAGAAACATTTGTATTATCAATGTTGAAAACAGTTGGATTTAATTGACATATCAGTAAAGAAATAAACATAAATAGAAACATTCCAGAGGGACATTTTGGGAGATTTAGCTTCTTTCTAGCATGACAATTCTCTGGTAATGGATATGACAATGTTAATGTATTTGGTCTTGGCGGAATAGATCTGCTACGCTGCTGCTGCTGCTGCTGAATTGCTGCTGCTGTTGGTTATTGCTGTAGTTGTAGATTATTGCTGCTGCTGCAAGCAAGTACAGGAACTTGCTACTGTCAATGCATATGGTGATACGGTGCTGTAAGTATTTAAGACATACTGCTGCTGCACAAATCTGAAAATGTAGCTTTGCATCACAGGAATAAATTACAATTTAAACTCTATTAAAATAGAAATCTTATATTAAATAAGATTATAATAAATATTACAGTTTTTACTGTATTTTTCATCAAATAAATGGAGCCTTGGTGACTTCTTCTCAGAAACATTAAAAAAAATCATCCCAACCCTAAACTTTTGAAACATAGTGTATATTTATTTCATTTACACACACACACACAAAATTCATTGTGTATTAATGACAAACAAACAACATCTTAATATCAAATGTATACTTTTATTTGTTACCATATTAATGTACCATTATATTTAAATGGTACCTTAATTTACCGCATAGAATATGACTGGTACCACCATGAAAGTGTCCCAAAAACATGGTATTTATGGTAGCACCATGCTTCTTTTTGTAATGGTCTCTCCTGCTCTCCTTCTCTTATAGCGTTGAGTGTCTGCTGTAATGTGTCCTGTGGTTAGGGATCAGTGATTGCTGTGGTAACAGGGCGCACAAATAAAATGTGCCTGACCGAAGGGGCGACCATCTGACCAATTACACGGCTTACTGCTCTCTCCACGGCAACCCAGACATTAAAAAAATGAGTACCGAACCACCAGGCATGGGTCACAGCTCTACCATGATAGATGAGGGAAAATACAAAGCCTGAACAGTTGATTGTTGGCCAATTTTTGTCCTTTTGCCTCCTTCTCTCCATTTCCAGGGCAAAAGCTACTCTGAAACAGCAAAGAAAAGGAGGAAAAAAGTGTTCAAGTTGATTTCTGCCTCTAGCGTAACACAAAAAAAGAAGAAAAAAAAATGAAAAAGAAAAACCATCAAAAGAGAGAGCTCAGGAAAAGCAGAGGATTTTGCATAGGCCCCTCTGGGCTTTTTGGGTTGGGTTAGCGATGGGCTCTTAATAAAAAACAATGTACTCCAGCAGTTCTGATGTAATTATGGCATTGTTACTGCAGGTTATCAAATTTCTTACCGTTTGGATATCAACGACCCCAACAAGTTTACCACGGTTGAGGTGGGATCCAACGCGCGTCAATTCACAGTGACAGGACTGATTCCAGAATCGGCGTATGTTTTCCAAATCACAGCGCGCACTCAAAAGGGCTGGGGACCCCCGGAGGAGGCCATAGTCATAACGACAGAAAAAAGAGGTATGTTTGAAGGCTTAATGTTCAATTGTGTTGTTATCAAATTGTTCACTACTTAGGCTACTGTAGACTTATTTACATTAACAGTGACAAATTGGATGTGACTAAGGCTAAAAACTCACTGAAACGCTCGTGTTTCGTGGAGTCAGTTTGTCTGAGTCGAATGTCAGCTGATAAAGCATACTGTCAAAACAGCATGTGGCCCTTCGGAGCTGACTGCATTTAAACTTGAGCTCAAAATCAGCCGCGAGCCAGGTCTGTGACACATGCACATGCCTAGCAGTGACTCATTACACATGTCTCACAGAGCGGCCACAGCACCCTCGACGGCTCACCGTGCCTCAGAAAGGGGTGGAGTCTCATAAGCTGCGACTTCATTGGACAGCGGGGGGAGACGGCTCTTCCCCAGTGCGCTACTTCACCCTGCAGGCATTAGAGCTGCCAGACGGCGAGTGGAAGACCCACACATCCTCCATCCGTCATAATAACACCTCCTGGGAGGTGGATAGGTAACACACGCGCACATATCTCTCTCTGATTAGTCATAACTGCCTGTGAGGCCAACGGCTGGTACAAGAACAGTCACTATTTATAGCATAATATACTTTAGCTCTGACAGACAGAAGACATTAAAATACACAGAATGGAGGTACGCTTGAGCTCGTTGTAAGTTTGGGATATGCAGACGTGGAAATAATTGAAGCTATAATTCAATAAGCAAATATTTTATATTGCACAACAAGGAGGTAACAAAATCATTTTTTTGGACATGATTGAAAGGGTAATGCCATGTTTTTGGACCATATTAGCACCATGCTTTTTGTTTTTGAACATAGGTAATGGCATGTTTTGTTTTTTGTTTACATACAGACAGTATGTGTTGTTTTTTTAGGACATGTACCATGGTAGTACCTTGTTTTTTTGGCAGTTTTTCTAGACTGTTTTGTTTTGTTTGTTTTTGGTTTTGGTTTTACGTACACCATAGCAGTAGCATGGCAATGTTTTTTTTATCACATTAATACTATAGGTTTTGGGGGGACATGTGCATATAGCAATTATAGGGGGGGGCATGTGCATTTTTAATGGACATGTGCACTTTTTTTTTTTGCGGCATGGTACCATTGCAATAAACATTTTTTTTTTTAGAAACGTACCATCAAAATGTTATAAAATTTTTTGGGATATGCACAATGCTATTCTCTGAGCTATGTAAATAACAATTATAATAACGATTTAGTCCCATGGTATTGATTCCATCACTTTATCCCACAGTACGACTACTGGGTGAAAGAGTCAGGGTGAGAATGAAAAGGGTTAAAATTGAAACAACCTTTTGGACTGAATCAAACAAAGCTCTTCAAACTAAAAGAGTGAAATTACACAAAACATGTAGGGCATTTTATATTATTGACATGCAGTGACACTGATGAGACATCATTAAGAATAAAAAAGAGAATGAAATCGTCAGACAGAGCAAGAGTGAGAGAGAGAGGGAGAGGGAGAGAGAGTGCAATCATAATCAGACTGACCATCGGGTGGCCTGATGTCTAATCACACATCCATTCAGCTCCACCCGCTCACTAACATGTTTTCTGCTCTCCATCCTCCAGAACTGCAGCACTAGCTCATATTCTTTCACCCTGCCTGTTCGTTCTTCTTATCATCACCTGTGTGATTCATGCTGTCATCTTCGTTCACGTCTCTAAATGTCCACTTGCATTAAGGGGAAGAATATATCGAGCTAAAGGACTTGCCTCCCCGTAACACCATCTATCTCAACCTGTTTTGTAATGGAACCATGGGAGCATTTCTGCATTCAGTACCACTCGATTACCCACAACCCACATTCCTGTCCTTTTAATTACCCACATATGCCTTTCACTGACATTCAGTGACTCATCGTAAGCCATCTTCTGACTGCAAAGGAGACACAGAAGATGAGTCTGAAGCACCATGGATAACACGCAAAAATGCATTTGCACAGACTATTTAATGTGGCACAGAGCCAGAATAAATGTAAATGTATTTACCGTGTACCGGAATCACAAAAAAACAATCACTATGCTTGGAGTACAACTGTACTACCCTCACTAGTTCTGCAATATATACAGTAGTTTGCACTGCTACTATACACTGTATGCTGATTTGAGAATGCAGACAATGGCTGAATTGAATTTTGAAATTTGAATATGAATTTCAATTTGTATTTAATGTAATTGAATGTATGTACATTACCGTTATATTGTACATTACAAACGTTTGGAGCCTGTAGGATATTTGAAAGAAGCCTTTCACACACACTCAGGCTGCATTTGTTTAATCAAAAGTACAGTAAATAGAAACAGAAACTCTGAAATATTATACAAAAGTTTTAATATTTTACATTCTAATTTTAAATGTTAAAATATTCTTGGCATGGCAAAGCTGAATTTTACAGTCTTCAGTGTCACATGATCTTTCAGAAATCAATTTATTATGCTAATAATATTTTTTGGAATCCTTTTTTCAGGATTTTTGGATGAATTGAAATATTAAAAGAACAGCATTTATTTAAAATATACATTTTACTGAATCTCACTGATCCCAAACCTTTTGAATGATATATTTCATCATATTTAATAAGTCAGCTTTTATTTTATGGACCACAGTGAAGGACCACTTCATTTCCTGCTTCATTTCATTTCATTTCATTTCAGAGAGTCGATTATTACATTCTGAATTTTTCCATACTTTGTACAGCAATGGGCCTACTGATACTTGCCTATTCAACCATTTATTTCCTGTATAGTTTGTGTATATGCTGCTACAGTGCTTTGCTTCAGTTGGTCTCGATTTCTTTCTTTCTCTGTCACACACGCATTTTTCATAATTGCATGAACCGAGTGTTTTAAACCAAGAGGATGTTTGTGTTCAAACCATCTTGATTCTCAGAGGAGTAAATGCCTCCAGCTATTAAAACAGAAATGCCACTAACAGTCCTCATCTTCAACGCCCTAATTATGAACACACACACACACGTAAACACTCACAACGATACAAGCACCCTCAGAGTGCTGATTCTCAAATCCCTAATTGCTCACTTCACACACATGCGCACACACACAGACTCAAAGTTTCCCTGATGGCCCACTTTGATATACATTACCCACAACCCTGTGTCTCCTTCCCACATCCCCTCAAAGTTTGAAAAGCAATAACAAATCTGTGCAGTTGCCTAATATTAACTAATTATAAATTAATAATGAGCCATTCTTATAAACATGAAAATCTCAAGAAATATTCAAGTGTTTGGTATCTGTTCAAGCACTTGAGCAAGACATTGTGGGTTGAGCAGACCTGTCTACTCAACAGATTGGGATCTGTTCTTATGACTATATTTATAAATGCATTTGTATGATAGCTTACCTTTTGTAGCAAGAGCTTCTGTCTCTGATTTTCTCAAAAGAAGTCTAAAAATGCATCACTTATGGTTCCTGTTGGTACTTGAGAATGATCTAGTGTGTGAGTTGAAATGCATCTCTTTTCTTGTAGGCTGAAGCCATACGCCTCTTACAAATTTAGAATGATGGCCACAAATGATGTGGGAGACAGTGCCTTCAGCAAAGAAACTGAACCAGTTACCACTCTGCAGGACGGTAATACTAGATTCTGTGTGTTGTGCAAAGTCAATTATAATTTTTTAGAGTGCTGGATCTGAGTATTTGAGAAAGCATCTGAGTAGATAGTAATTTTTTTTTAGTATTTGGAGGAGAAAACATAGATAGAATAGTGGATAGACAAATGGAAGCTTGTCATTCTATCTACATTTTCTCATCAAAAAATTCTCGAAATAATGTTCATAAAATAGATAGACAGACAGACGAACGATAGACAGACAGACAGACGAACGATAGATAGATAGATAGATAGATAGATAGACAGACAGACAGACAGACAGAGAGACAGACGAACGATAGATAGACAGACAGACAGACAGACGAATGATAGATAGATAGACAGACAGACAGACAGACGAACGATAGATAGATAGATAGACAGACAGACAGACAGACAG